TTGGTATATAATATCCACTACTACCTTTGCCTATATCTAAGCTTTCAAATAATCTGTAGGTTTTTATAGTAGCATGTAACTTTTAGAGAATGTCTGATCACAGATCAATTTTTTAACTTGATTTTCCCCTGTAGCAGAAATTCATCAGTTTTAAAAGGGGCAAAAATACAGTTTTCAGGAAGACTTTTTAATGGGTTTGATTAAATTTCCACAATATTTTCTATCATAACATACTCATGTTGCTCATTAAAACTTGTTGCAGGTTGTGATGTGAATGGACAGAATTACAATGGCAATACTGCATTACATAGAGCTGCAATGAAGGGCAATCCTGTACTCATTAAAACTCTTCTAGATTATGGTAAGATTCTGATTGTCAATATTTATATCTCAATATGTGTATTTAATCATTAGTATATTAATTGCTATGTATTCATTCTTAGATGCAGATCCTTATATAAGTAATAATGAATTGATTTTGCCTATTGACTGTGCCATCAATGCAGGTAAGACACATTAACTTATTTTAAAGTTGCACTCTCTGATGGTATATTTAGATTTATGTGTGAATATGCATGAATTGACATTTAAGTTTCAATAACTTCAGCAAGTTCATTGGTAGAAATACTCATTGCATTAAATTTGCATAACGTATTTGATACAATAAAAATATGTTTGTAAAAAATCACCAATATATAGTTAAATAATAATAAAATCTTTGTATAATAGATTTAATATATTTTAACATTGGTAGAATAAAAGAGAATTTTAAATTAATATTAAATTTTATTGTTATTGCAGGACATATTGGAGTAGCCCAGATATTAAAAATTAATATCATCAGTGAGAATGATGAAGATGGTGACTCCCCTTACACACCCACAAGAATAAAACTTGGCTTACAAAGTCCACCATACAAGAACCACCTTGTGGAATCCACATTTCATCACAAAAAAGTGATTCTTTCCTAAAAACAACAGATTTATTACCGAGTACTAGTGTATGTTGTTACTTGCATTTCAAAGTACATTGCCATTGACGTCATACAAAGGTAGAGTGAAGTTTCATGCTTCTTTATCATGCACAGGGTTAAATAAATACTATAAATCTATTTTGCAAATTATGTTTAAGTAGGATAAGAAATACACTAGATTTTTATTAGTTATGTGATTTTAAATTAGTGGTAAAAACTTGCTTATTATTCATATACTTCAATGTTGAATGTTTCACTACCATTGTAGAGAGTTTAAAACAGGGATACATGTTGAACCACTTTCAATTTCAAGTTTCTATTTAACTGTCTGTTTATGTCAGTCAGGATTATTTCGTTCATATTTTTCACTAGAACATATTCAATTGTTATATTCATATAAGCAAATGATGAAACAGTGAAACAGTTACTTTAAAGGGTGGAGGCTGTTGCGAAAGACAAATATAATGAAAACACAATGAAAGATCTTATAGTTTGGATGTGGAACATTGCTATTATGCATATATTTCCAAATGTTCAAATGAAATATGATTAATTATTTATTTTAGTTTATGTTTAGTCCCCAATTGGAACAATAGTAGTTGTTGGTATGAACATTGATAGTAGTTTTAAGCATACTGATGTTTTTTGGATGACTGGTTGCTTGGGGATATTGAAAGACTGCAAACTGAACACAGAAAATATTTGTGTCTTCAATCCCTTTCATGTCTAGCAAAATACAATGTGCTTCTCATGCATGTCATTTGAGGATAAACTTGAAGTGAAAGATTTCTGGGGAAACGGTTCAACATCAAGTTTCAGACAATAATTATATTATTTAGTACTATTTAGAGACACATTTTATTTTGTATACACCTGTATATCCAGACGGTAATGTTGTGTGATTACATTCACAATGAATTGTAACATAATGATTAACAATATCTAGTTGTCCAGTCCAATAAGATTTTGTATTTCGAATGCAGAAGCCAAATTTTGTCATCTTTCACAAAATCAATCTGAATGTTTGGGAGCTACAACGTCAGTGTTAGTCATGTTTGGATGTGCTTTTCAAATAAAGTTAAACCTCAAAAGTATGTTACAGTCGTTACAATGGCATTTCGAACGTAAATGATGTCTTTTTTTAAATTTTTAACATTGTCCCGATTGTTATCAGTTCGCAACTTTGTAGGCAACCAGTGTCGCTGGAATAGAATCACATCTGCCAGATTACTATGTAGGCGATGGAAGTTTTAGTAGAACCTTAGTTTAATATTATTCTTTGTACAACTCTATGCGCTCAAGTGTATAACACGATGCTCAACTTTGGACACACTGTAAAACCACCAGTTCGAAACAAGCAGACGCTGCAGACTTTGAAGCACCTACTGCATTTCAAATGTCACCTAATGACAATTTTTTGTGCGGAGTGCAATCTCTTGTCGACTTCGTAACAGGGTGGCAGCAAGTGAAGTGGGTTATACCATGTAAACTCTGTGCATGCACATGTATGGACGGCGACACCAAGTCTGTTCACAATGTTGCAAACCTGACAACATGCGGGACAATGTCTATAAATTCGCTAGTAATGTTAGAAACCAGTGTTCAGGTAACATTTCGCCGAAGCTCTGTTATAACGCCAGTAAAACCTGTATTTTTTTTTCAGCAACGATGTACGTACTATGGTAACACTACATTGGACGATGTTAATAGTAATTTATGTATTTATGTTTATGGTTATCCCAAAAGAGAAAACGAAAACTAGTTTTCGTATTTTGTTACCCCATGACAAAAGTTGTTGTCCCGGACAACCGCCCATTTCTGTCCCTGATTGTTGCTTTGTTTAATATATCGTAAGGACCACTTACACTGTTATTCAATGTGTAATGATATTTACATCTTTATTCACTTTTATAAATATATAGTGGTGTGTATATTAGGAGTCATTAAAAGTGTTCTGCGACAACACTGGTGTATTTTGTTGCTATACCCGAGTTGAATAAAACTGACAGAAAGAAAACCTTGCGTGATTAGTTTTGTCCCTTTATATACCGTGTCATGGGATATTTCAGTTAGCAAACATTCCTATTTGAAGTTTCCTATTTTTCTGAAAACCTTTTCATGTTTGCTACATTTCCACCATACCGCATGGATATCTAGACAAGTTGGCGTTCTGTTTCTTTGTACTTCCAAACTCAAAATACAAGAAATGTCTGGACCATGTTGCGGCGCTTGCATACTTAAAACCCCGTGCTTCTGGAGGATTTCGCCGACATATGTAGATGTATGCGCAAGTTTTTGAAGTTGCCATATCAATCGCGAATTGTGATATTTTTTTTATTATTCGTCGTCTATATTCGGTTTGTAGAAATACTCATTATACAGACAGGATACCTTTGGTGTAAGTGAGTAGTTTACGTTGGGAGAGAACCAACATGAACACGATATTGATTTGAAGCGTAAAGTTCTGATAAACAACCTGTTTTACGACAACAAACACCTGCTGAACAACTCGGCTGTGTTAACGTGTCATGTGTGTAAACTGTTGCGCAGCTACCCCTGAAACACGTTCAGAGGTTACTTATATTATGTGAAACTAACAGAACCCCTAAACTAAGTGCTATGATGACAAGTATGTTTATCCATCACTATTGGTTTTATAAAGTCGTGATTTATATAGGAAGTCATGCGTGATGGAGGCAAAGAGTGGATTCTGTTTGATCCTCTCTAAACTGAGGGCAGATTGTTATGATCCGCATAACCCAGTACTCGGACTTAGCACACGACAGTGTTCTCGTGTATCATATCAACTTTATTGGAAACAAAGTGGCTGGACTTTGTTTCACGTCAGTTGAGTCAGTCGATCTGGTCTAAATTACAAAGGCCTCGTGTGGATTGTTTTCATGTACACGATTATAGCGTAGTCCATTATTAAACCATATTCAGAATTTTGTTTGGTGACGTCTGGCAGTATATCACATGGAAACTTGGAAAAAGACGGAATTTGTTGTTAATAAAGTCATTGAATGAATAGGTGTTTGGGATGGCGAAAGATGTTCAGTAGTTTTGGCACTTATTTTGGTATGACGTAACGTATAAGTGACCATGATATGGTTTGTCGTATATGATCACTGAGATTTAACGTATTACTCATCTCTACCCTCCACAAATAAATGGTTCATCCCTTTGTAGCACTTGTTCCTATCAAGTGTCACGGCAGTGTCAGTTAGTGTAGCATACTTAGTACATGGAAAAGCGACCGCCCAGCTCTGTCAGAAATTAAAACTCCCAAGACGAGCGCCAGCAGAGTCTGACATCAATGCGTTTTACTGATAGATATAGTCTTTCATATGCGTGGACTGCGAAACATGCCTTGTAAGAAAAGTAGGTGGGTAAACATGATCTAAACCACGTCATCCCGTCAGCAGTCACCAGTAGTCGGCATAGGATGTAATACACACAAGTTTCTACCACCTGCTAGTCTACAGGGTTTACTTTTCCGTGCATATCCTGATACGTCCTTCGACTGAAACACCGAAGTGTTCTGTGTCAACTTTGTACTAGCCTCAACCAAGCATATATTTGGTATGTTTTAGAAGACCTCAGAAGAATTAACGATTTCCCCTGATTACTTTCGGAGTTACCTCCATATGTTATACCCCAGAAAAGGTTGGTAGTGCTTTGATCCGTTTTATGAGTATAGTATTTGCTGTTATTTTATTTAGACAAGGCACTTATAGAATGGCATGTTACTCAAAATGCATATTTCATCGTCTGCAAACCTTCGTTTTTTATTCATTTATTTAGTTGTTTTGACATTTTCGAATCTAGAACTTTTTGTGAAACAAATCTAAAAGTTGTGTGTTTGCTTTAACTGTTACGACAAACAGTACTACAGCTACTTTGAGTATTGAGCTACGTCATAGCTGTCATCATGGAGAGTGGTATTCGTGTTTGCCTCGTACATAACTTGGGTGTATTTTGTTTTTACAGCTTCGCATACCAAGACTAGGTGATGGCTTGAAACAACATGGCTAACATATGGTCTACAGTTTTACTATTAGGTTGCATTGTGAGCATTGCCAATGCAAAGTTGTATGCCACTTTGAATGGATCGAATGGCGTTCTTGAAAACTCAACAGCGCTTGAACTATCCGAAGGAGAGACGTTTCAATACTACTTACAAATCGAGGAGCAATACCTGGAAAATGTTATTCTCAAGCCACGTGAGCCTTCCCTGCTACTCACAACGCTGGTAGATACGTTTTCCCTTCACAACGACCATACTGTAAAGTTTAATATCACTGCGTTGGATGACGACGTTCCACGCATGTCGCCCTATCGAGCCCACGTGGATATATATGCCGGAGGGAACAGCGAACACGAACTGGTGATAACGGGCACAATCGTAGTTTGGATTCGTGATAACGACCATGGTACGTATCAACAATTTATATCAACGTATCAACAGTTATACATATAGGATATGTATTTTATTGTGACACACTCCCAAAGTTCTGTTCTTGGGCGACATTTTTGTTAGGTTATTAGGACATAGTTACGGAAATTAAATTAGTGACGGTATGCTGCGAAGCTCATGATTGTGTCTCATGTCTTTACGACTAAAAATAACTCGCATCATGCAACTCAAATTCTTCAACAAATGAAAAAGACTTCCAGCCCACAATATCTAAGAGGCGGAGGTTAGCTACGGAATAGAAAACAACAACAACGTGACCCGTTAAACATATACATTAAAATAGTAGCTATAACTTGTTCTCTGGATATGTTAATTTAAGAGCCATATAATGTTTGATTTAGGACCGTTTGTTCGATATAAAAGTTAGGGTGTCATAGGGTGAATAATGCGATAGTTATTGAAGTCGCGGACAAAACTGCCGTATACATTTTTACTACTTCGTATTTATATATTGTTTTTAGAGATTCTCGTAAAATTGGCACTGTATTTTTACCAGATGACAGGGGCTAAAAGTTTATCTCAGCTTGTAACTTTACACCCACTTTTTAGGCCCGTTTGGAAAATCGCTAGCCTGTTTACACCATTCGGAAGACGATATAAATCTTCGATGTCAAGATCTGTTTAGATTCCCTGGTGTTTTATTTTTAGAACGTGGGATGGTGTTGTGTATGCCAAGAAAGTCGTGAAGGTTGTCGAGATAGACTGGTGCGGTCGATGCGTCAAACTAACTACATTAACATGCTTTTAACATATATAACTGCTATTAAGGTGATAAAATAAAAGCAATTTATTTTCAGTTAAATAGTGCAAAGTAATGGCATGGAGTATAAACAATTCGGATAGGATACGCGGGTGAATGTTCAAAATGCACAGTATTAAATAAATTATCGGTAATTGCTGCATGGACCGATACATAAATAATAAAGTAGGTATAAGTAATCACATCAATGAATACTGATCCTAAATAACTAGACGTTGTCAAAATATACTTGGAGTTTTGGCAACAGACGAACCGCTGGTTTACAGAGCCATGAATGATGTTATCAAGCGCACAGTAGGAAAATGTTGACTGCTGATAACATGCGAGAGTAAACAGAAACGCCAATTTCGTGCAGTCTTTGACATTTTAAGCATATACAATTCCTATGTTTTGAATGGTTTAGTAGTTAATCACATGCGCAGTCTCATGCACGTACACAATCATAAAGGAAAGTTTGTATAGTTATTTTCCAAACCCATTACCTTTTATGAGATGGCATTATGGAAACTCTATAAATTGTTTATTTTAAAGTCTGGTGGATCAATCAAAAACAAATGTGATTTTTAAAATAATCGCGGTCATGTAATGACAATGAGCTTGAAACTAAAAAATCAAACAAAAAAAGATCCACAGAAAAAATGAGTAAACCAAGAAAACGACGAGCACATTGAATACTATAAGTGAACTCAGAAAACGAATCATATATGCAAAAACAATTTGTGAACCTGTAAAAAGACATAAACCTGTGAATGGGTGAATCCAGAAGGGTGGACCCAGAAAACAATTCAAACCTGCAGAAACGGTGAATGAAATAAGAAATTAAACTAAGCCCATGTAATCGAGAACCCAGAGAAAAGGATATAAATTTGTAGAAACAATAAGTGAAAGTAGAAAATGGCAAGCCTGTCAATACAATAGAACGATTTAGACCCGCATAAGCAATGAGTGAACCCAGAAAACGATATAGACATGAAGTAACAATGAGTGAACCCCAAAAACGATATAGACATGTAGTAACAATGAGTTAACCCAGAAAACGATAGAGACATGCACTAACAATAAGTGAACCAGAAAACGATATAGACATGTAGTAACAATGAGTGAACCCAGAAAACGATATAGGCATGTAGTAACAATGAGTGAACCCAGAAAACGATATAGACATGTAGTAACAATGAGTGAACCCAGAAAACGATATAGGCATGTAGTAACAATGAGTGAACCCAGAAAAAGATATAGACATGTAGTAACAATGAGTGCACCCAGAAAACGATATAGACATGTAGTAACAATGAGTGAACCCAGAAAAAGATATAGACATGTAGTAACAATGAGTGAACCCAGAAAACGATATAGACATGTACTAACAATGAGTGAACCCAGAAAAAGATATAGACATGTAGTAACAATGAGTGAACCCAGAAAACGATATAGACAATGTAGTAACAATGAGTGAACCAGAAAACGATATAGACATGTAGTAACAATGAGTAAACCAGAAAACGATATAGACATGTACTAACAATGAGTGAATCCAGAAAACGATATAGACATGTAGTAACAATGAGTGAACCCAGAAAACAATATAGACATGTACTAACAATGAGTGAACCAGAAAACGATATAGACATCTACTAACAATAAGTGAACCAGAAAACGATATAGACATCTACTAACAATAAGTGAACCCAGAAAACGATATAGACATGTAGTAACAATGAGTGAACCAGAAAACGATATAGACATGTAGTAACAATGACTGAACCCAGAAAACGATATAGACATGTAGTAACAATGAGTAAACCCAGAACACGATATACACATGTACATAGTAACAATGAGTGAACCCAGAAAACTATATACACATGTAGTAACAATGACTGAACCCAGAAAACGATATAGACATGCAGTAACAATGAGTAAACCCAGAAAACGATATAGACATGTAGTAACAATGAGTGAACCCAGAAAACGATATAGACATGTAGTAACAATGAGTAAACCCAGAAAACGATATAGACATGTAGTAACAATGAATGAACCCAGAAAACGATATAGACATGTAGTAACAATGACTGAACCCAGAAAACGATATAGACATGTAGTAAGAATGAGTGAACCCAGAAAACGATATAGACATGTAGTAAGAATGAGTGGACCCTCGACACGATATAGACATGTAGTAACAATGAGTGAACCAGAAAACAATATAGACATGTACTAACAATGAGTGAACCCAGAAAACGATATAGACATGTAGTAACAATGAGTGAACCAGAAAACGATATAGACATGTAGTAAGAATGAGTGAACCCAGAAAACGATATAGACATGTAGTAACAATGAGTGAACCAGAAAACGATATAGACATGTAGTAACAATGAGTGAACCAGAGAACGATATAGACATGTAGTAACAATGAGTGAACCAGAAAACGATATAGACATGTAGTAACAATGAGTGAACCCAGAAAACGATATAGACATGTAGTAACAATGAGTGAACCAGAAAACGATATAGACATGTAGTAACAATGAGTGAACCAGAGAACGATATAGACATGTAGTAACAATGAGTGAACCAGAAAACGATATAGACATGTAGTAACAATGAGTGAACCAGAGAACGATATAGACATGTAGTAACAATGAGTAAACCAGAAAACGATATAGACATGTAGTAACAATGAGTGAACCCAGAAAACGATATAGACATGTAGTAACAATGAGTGAACCAGAGAACGATATAGACATGTAGTAACAATGAGTGAACCCAGAAAACGATACAGACATGTAGTAACAATGAGTGAACCCAGAAAACGATACAGACATGTAGTAACAATGAGTGAACCCAGAAAACGATATAGACATGTAGTAACAATGAGTGAACCAGAAAACGATATAGACATGCAGTAACAGTGACCGAACCCAGAAAACGATATAGACATGTAGTAACAATGAGTAAACCCAGAACACGATATAGACATGTAGTAACAATGAGTAAACCCAGAACACGATATAGACACGTAGTAACAATGAGTAAAC